GCATGCACAAAGTCAATAGGGTAATTAATAGTCAATTATTATTAATCAATAGTCAATATTCCGTTATAGGAAAAATAATAGTTATTCGAGTGGCTGCATTTCAAATATTTAAAAAACGGTTAGACTTAGGCATAGGGGTTCCCGGTGGGGCACCCTGTAGATAAATTTGGTCTAACAAGACAGATCAAAGTTAATCTGCAAATAGGCATAAAATAGGAAATAAGTTAATATTTATAATTAATACAAGTAAAAGATAAAGAGAACAATTTAGATTGGCAGCTTTTTATGACAATTAATATAACATTTGTTGTAAACTCTCCAGTACTGGAACAAACTATATTACTGAATATATCAATGTGATAAAAACGAAATTTAACTAAGAAAATAATACAAAATGTACAATCTAACTGAAATGATGTATTTAGTTATTATATCAGTAAAGCTGCTAGTTTTACAATCAAAAATGGTTGTAAATTAGTAACATCCATCTACAGTTTTGAAAACATTTGATCATGGTTTGGGAAACAATAACAATAATAATGATACACAGTTGCTTCCACTGCACATTAAAGTAAACTAAAATCTAGGTTTTACCGTTATACAGAACCAGCCAACGTAAAGTTCCAATTCGGGTTTCTTGTGCAACAATTCAGCCCCAAATTGCAAAATATTTACTACAAAATAGTTACTGATCTCAACGAGAATCTGAACTCTGAGGGACGGTTACACAAACCTCGTTAAATCCCAGTTCAAGTTGAAAATTGTCAACAAAACAATACAATATCTTTTTTTGACGATAATAAACTCTCGACTCATTGAAAGATAAACTCTCGACTCATATCTCCAAGCTTACTTTCTATATATGTTGCCAGAAAAATAGAAGAAAACTTCGAAACTAGTGAGTTTAAGTCCTGTAACCTTTTGCAAGTTTGAAATTTATAAATGGTCGGTATAATACTATTTGAATATGAAATCGACAGGTTGCCTCAACAATAACGAAATTTCATTGATCCACCCGTCCTCTATAGATACAAGGACACAACAACCCTACATTATTACATCTAGAACATATTGACCATGTTGCGTGATTAAATTATCCGAGATTCTCATTATGCAATTCTTCATATGGGACTTTTTCATTTGATTGGTTATAAAGCCTTTATCGCAATATTTGCATCTGTACGGCCGTTCGCCCGTGTGTGTTCTTAAATGTACACTAAAGGGCCCTGGTTGTCTGAAACACTTTCCACAATATTCGCACGAGTACGGTTTCTCGCCAGTGTGAATTCTTTCGTGCTTCTGCATCGTATCTTTGCCCGTGAAGGCCCTTTGACAATATTTGCACACATATGGCTTAATCTCTTCATGCATGGCTCTTTGGTGACGTTCCAATCGATATTTGGATAGGAAATCCTTACCGCACATGTCGCAAAGAAGACGGTCACGACTTCTTGATTTTGTTGCTCCGTCGTTGTTAAGTCGTCCTCCCATTGAAGGTTCAATATCAATAATAGCTTTGTGATAGTTCTTCTGATGATGAATCAACTTCCTGCTATCGTAGAAAATTTTGTTGCATACTACACATTCTAGGCTTAAATCCTTCACAGTCATTAGACTGGCATCCCAATGTTCAGACTCCATGTGTTGAGTTAGTTCAAGCTTTTCATCAGTCTGGAAAGAGCAGCAAGGACACGTCATAGTGCTAGTCTTATTATGCTCCGCACTGTGATAGGCAAATTCCATCAACGAATTGAAATCTTGGGAACAACAATTGCAAGTAAACCGGGAATGCCGTGTTCTTAAATGTTCGTCAACTTCCGATTTGAAATTGAATTCGTCATTGCATTGGCTACAAATGTACATGTTTTTGAAATTATCGAAATGATAAGGTTCAGACTCAGATTTTTTTGATTTAGCAGGCGATTTCTTGAAAAAACCGAAATCCAACTCAGTGCATTTGGAACTATGTGCATCGAGAAGGGCTTGAGTGGAAAATATTTGAGGACACTTTGCGCAAAGGAAAAAGAACTTGTTTTCCTCGATTTTCAAATTCGTCTGACGCTTCCTCCCTTCACTTCTCACCACAGCAGCTCTACTGCCAGTTTTCGATTTTTTCACTACCTCAGCCGGAATTCCCGGAAGGTTTATAAATTGATCTTCAGCTTTAACAACTTTCGTTCTGATACCGGGAAGATTTTTCAATAAATCTTCCGGATTTACTTTAGACTCTCGTTTCCGCTTCAGCTTCACGCACGTCTCCTTTCCAATGTGAGAAGTCAGCTGAGCCAGGCTGGCAAATTTCCTCTGGCAATCCGAACATTGCCAAGATATTCCCGAGATTACATTCGTTGGCGACAACTTCTTCAATATCCTAAAAACACAACATTTATTAGGAAAATAAAAACAGTGATATCGAGCATTTAACTTCACAATGAATCTAAGGTCGATGAGATTAACATCTATGCAAAATTTGGTAATAATTGTTAAATATCATTAAAGGAGATCGCAATTTTAAAGAATGTATTTATTTGACTATAGTTTCTATATATATAATTTCTTTTTAATTTTATAACTCCCTGTTTACATCAAAGTAATAAAGAGTCTATCAGTACGCAGTAGTAATGCATGTTCTAATTTCATATACACATATTCGATATTATAATCATCATTATACACTAATCAAAAAATAATATATTTTTAAATAAAAACAATAAATATTTAAACTATTCTAACCATAAAAATAACAAGCAAGTGTTATAACAATTATTTGATTTTAAAAAACCCTGAAAAGGATTTCGAATTTAAGACCGGTCGAACATGATCGTCAATGGAAAAATATTAAATTGAATAGAAGAATCTGAAGAGAGAGCATTTGGTTATCTTTAGCATTAACAATTACTGCTAAAAATTAAACTTTTCAGTGATAGATTTTCATTTATCGACCTACTGTTGGAAAACCATCATTCACAAACTTTCACCAAAAGCATCTTTTCATCGGTCAACAGGCCGGCTATTCACGTATGAAGAATGAAATCGATCGCTTTACGAAAATTGATAATCATATCAAAAATGGGAAAACAGTTAACGTTGAATTCATTCAGAAAAGATAATGTCTTATGCAGCTGAAGGCCGAGGTTCTATTAGAAAAGAAGAAGTAAAGAAAACAGTCGTACGAACAACTGTGATAATGCGGGAATAACACTACTCATCTTTGCCCAATTTATTGTCCAATAAAGTGTGGCATCGGGTTGTGATCGATAAATCCTACGATTTATTGCGGATCTAGTATGAACGTGGAAACGACACCGAGTGAAAGATATGTTGCTTTTATACCATTTTTCTAGAGCTGCTGGTTGTTATTTTAATTTTCTATATAAAAATAAAGAAACAATTTTTGACGCGTTTCGACACTACTTGGAAGGAACGTGCCTTACGATTGACAAGACTATCAGTTTGATACACCAACGTGATCACTAGAGGGCGGAAAATATGCAAAGTGCATATCTATGCATTTTTTGCATATTTTATCCAATTTCATGAAAAATTGCATATATCTAAAAAATC